AAAAAAAAAAAAAAAAAAAAAAAAAAAAAAAAAAAAAAAAAAAAAAAAACCCTACAATGATCTGGATACCGTATGAAAATAGACCTAAAGGCCGATTTAACAGAAGATAGTGTTCAGAAGTAAACCCCAACTTACACAGCCAGGAATTTTTTTTTAATAGAGCCAACATTATTCAACAGGGTGAGAAAGGTCTTTTCAACAAATGGTGTTAGAACAGTAGAATAAACATGGGATGGGAGCTCTTTCTCACGCAGCACACTCACGTCAGAGATGTGTTACAGACTTAAACGTAAAAGCTGAAACTCAATCTTTTAGAAGATGTAAGAGAATATTATTGTAACCCTGGGATAGGGAGATTGTTTTTTCGAACATAGAAATGCATTAGTCACAAAAGAAAGAATTGAACTGCACTAAATTAAAACATCTGCTGATCAAATGGCAGTCAATAAAGTATAAATACACATATCCCACAAAGGATTTGTAGGTGAAGTACTACAAATCAGTAAGATAACACCATTTAAAATGAACAAAAGGCAAACATATAACAATCAGCACATCAGGAGGTCAACATCAGGCATCAGAGAAAAGTGCAGGAAACCCCACTGAGGCAGCAGTGCACACCCACCTGAATGGCTAACAGGACCACACCAAGTGTTGGCAGCAACCTGGGGCCACGGAACCCTGACACTGCCTCTGAGGTGTAAACCAGCATCACCAACTCTGGAAAAGTCTTTTTGGCAGCTGTGGTCCAGTTAAACGTATAAACACCCCATGACTCAACTCATTCTATTTCCAGGGAATTACTTCCCAAAGAAATGAAACTGTCTGCAAGAAGACTGGCACATAACTGTAAGAGGTTTACTCATCGTGGCCCCAATCAGGGAACAACCCAAACGTCCACCAAGGGAATGGATGCGCTGTGGTCTGTGCACGCGTGGGTCACTATCGCTCTGCTCAGCGACACCCGAGGAAGAGCTGCTGACGCCTGCAACAGGCAGGAGCCTCACGAGCCATTTGTGGAGTGGAACAAGCGAGGTGCACTGGTGTCCACACTCCACCATCTGACGTGTGTGGAGGCACAGCTAGCCCCTGGTGAAAAATCGGGGCAGTGACTGTGAGTAGGGCTTGTGGATAACTCAGAAGGTACAAGGGCTCACTTTCTGGGGCCACAGGGACGTTCCAGACCTGGGCTTCAGTGGTGGTCACATGTAGGCACACATTTAAGACTCATTGAGTAGCTTTTACGTATATGTGCACTTTAATGTACGTAATTTTTACCTCAATTAAGAAGGAGAACAGTGAGAGAACCCAACCAATGAAACAGCTCACATTCAAGGCTCACAGTGCCTCTCACTGGCGCGGGTGCGGAGCAGATGGAAGCGGGTGGAACCCCTTTGGCAAATGTTCGGTGTTTGCTGAGTGGACCCATGACCCAGCAATCCCACTCCTCGGGATCTTCCCACAAAAGGATGATGTGTCCAGCAAGGGTCACATCCCAAGAGTGTTCACGGCAGCTTTGCCTGGACACCACCTGACGCCCGCCAGCCTGGGAGGAGCCGGGCAGCTGTGCTGCTGCTTCTCGTGGAGCACAGGCCTGTGAGTAGGTGAGACTTTGCCATGCCAGGGCTGAGCCAGAGTGACGCCGAGCCATGGCCCACACCACGTGGCTCTGTGTTCATGGAGCTCAGGGACTGGGTAAGCCACTCCGATGACAAACGACCAGGGTTATCAACTGGGAAAGGCCAGGGGCCGGAACGGTCTGTGTGGTGGCCCCACAGAAGTTTGTTACGTGAACTTAGAATGTGTGCACTCCAGTATGTTCTACTCGTTAGAAAGGAAAGAACAGGACGTGAGGCGAGAAAAGCCCCTACTTGTGAGGACATGGAACCCGGGACTGCTGCGTCACCGGAGCAGAGTGTGCGGCAGTGGCTCCGCAGGGTCTGCTCCGGCCAAGGTCTGACCAGGACAGGCACTCAGAAAAGGAGCATGTGTGAGTGCACTGGGTTCCAGCAGCACGGCGGTGGAGGGGCCAGGACAGCCGCCACGGGGGAAGAGATGGGCTAAGGGGCACCAGGCTGGCCACAGGAGCTGGGACGGGGCGCTGGAGAGAACAGGTGTGGGCAGTGGGGGAAGGGCCAGTGGCCACAGTCCGCAGGCCTCCTCAGCCCAAGCCCAAGGCCCGGGCTTGCTGGTGGCTGTGGCCTGAGCCCCCGCCCACAACAGACAACAGCCTGCAGGTCCCAGGAAGCAGCATCCGAGTCACCGAGCTGCCAGCTGGGGCCTGGAGACACTGGGGCCATCACGCCGCAGGGCAGCGCTCTGAGGTGGGCTGTGCTCCCACTGCGGTCCGGGCAAGAGTGGCCTCCTGGTGTGTTCTCCACGCCCTGTGGCCAGTGCGGCAGAAGCTATGCATGCCCGCCGTCCTGCCCGGGGCCAGGGAGGAGCAGGACGCAACCCCAGGGTGTTAGAAACGAACGGCAGCCTTGGCTCACACAGAAATGAGAAATAGAAAACCACTTTATTCCATGGTTTACATTTACAGTTTATTAGCTAGTCAACATCAACATGCAAAAATAAGCGCTAACTACAAACTTCTACGATATGGTTCTGTGTAAACTACGGTGGTTCATTTGCTTTGAAACGTCACCAGTACTCAACTGAACGATTAATTTGACTCTACAGTTATGGAACCATCCGGCAAGGCCTCTGCAGAAACTTGGTCCCGTGGATTTCCACGTTATACATTCTCGAAGCAGGAAGTAAGGCGGAACACGGGGATGTGATATGGACCCTACGCACAGACGCAGACAGTCCCACGGACACGCCCGAAGGCAGGCAGGCGTCCTCAGAGCCAGCCCCCCACAGCAGCAGCTCTCCAAGGAAGCCATGTGTCCCTCATGGCGCGGCATTGCGGGTCACTGCAGCTCAGTCCAGCGTCACCACCACCTTTCCCAGGCCGGGCCAGGGGCGCTGGGAGGTGGCGAGGGACCAGCCCGTTCTCCAAGTCTCACCGTTCGCAAAAGGGAAGAAACCAAAAACACGGGGAAACCATGGACCCCTATTTTTGATACGTTCTAAAGTTTCCCTCGGGGTTTAGGTCAGTCTTTAAAGAAAAGTTTCCTTCGAAAGTTGAAAGTACTTTTCAGAAGCATCAAATGGTTGACATGTTACAAAATCCTACCAATCAAAATGTTGTTTTCAAGTACAAATTTATTAAATCTTATTTCCTCTCTTCCTAAAGAGTATTTATCGCTGCTCACTGATCTTTGGTCGCAAGAAACAGAAGCGCCGTGGCCGACTGGACGCGGGGCAGGAGGAAGGCGCGGCCTCCCCGCCCGCTGCAGCCGACCTGAGGCATGCGCTTGGCGACGCGGGGCCTACATGATGTACACCTTCTCGGCTTGTGAGAAGTGAAAGACTTCTTTGGTTCTCGGGCAAACGACTTTATCATCTTGACGGATAGAAAGCAGAGACTGAAAAACAAAACCGGAATGTATTAAAAGAAGCAAATGCAACGTAAATGCAGATTTCCATGAGAAATCCCCGTAACAAACCACCAGGCAATCACCCATCCTCTCAGGCAAAGTTCCTTCCTGAAGGCACCCCACCAAAGAAATCCTGGGGCCATCTCGCATGTCCTTCCTGCCCCTTGATCCGTTTCAAATGGCGCTAAAGCAGGGTAGGGTGAGAGGACAGCCCTGTCCCAATGGAGACGTGTGCCAGCCCAGCCCCCTGCCCTGCCCCCCAGCCCTGTCCTGATGGAGACGCGTGCCAGCCCGGCCCCCCTGCCCTGCCTCCCCAGCCCTGTCCCAATGGAGATGTGTGCCAGCCC